AATGGTGATCGAAAAATTCTCAGAAATAGAAAATAAGAATGTAAAGGTGCCGGAATGGCCCAGGCATCCGTATGGCGAGGAGCAGTACGGCCAGAAGTTAAAGATCGTGCCCATTAAGGATATACGCTCGCTAACAATAAGCTTTACGACCGACGATCTGACCCAGTACTACAAATCGGCGGTAAGTAATTGAAGTTATTTTAATGCMTATTCTAAAATAATATTGTAATATAATGCAGCCTGACAACTATTTAACGCATCTTATTGGMCACGAAGGCAAGGGYAGCATATTATCTGAGCTGCGRAGGCTTGGCTGGTGCAATGAGTAAGTATATTAACTAACTATATAACTAGAGATTAACCTACTCACACTTGCATTTGCTTGCAGTCTTATGGCTGGTCATCAGAACACCCAGAATGGCTTTGGATTCTTCGAGATTGTGGTGGATCTAACGCAGGAGGGCTTGGCTCATGTAGATGACATTGTGAACATAGTATTTCAGTATTTGTGCATGCTGAGAAAGGAGGGACCTAAGAAATGGATATTTGATGAGTGTGTGAAATTAAACGAAATGCGGTTCCGTTTCAAGGAGAAGGAACAACCAGAGAATCTCGTCACCCATGCAGTATCATCCATGCAAATATTTCCACTGGAAGAGGTGCTAATTGCACCTTATATGAGCAACGAATGGCGTCCCGAATTAGTTTGCAATCTTTTGAACGAATTGGTGCCATCAAAGAGTCGCATTTCCTTGGTTAGCCAAAGTTTTGAGGATTCTACCGATATGACAGAGCCCTATTACAAAACGAAGTATGGCTTGGAGCGGATACCCCAGTGCACAATTGAGGTACATTGAGAGCTTCACAGCCAATYCAATATTTATTWATTTAATATCCATTTGCAGAGATGGGAGTGTTGTGATGTAAATGAGAATCTAAAGCTGTCACTGCCAAACAGTTTTATACCGAACAATTTCGATATTGCCGAAGTGCCCAGCGACGCACCAATACATCCCACAATTATAATGGATACGCCAATTCTGCGAGTGTGGCACAAGCAGGACAATCAATTTAATAAGCCCAAAGCTTGCATGACCTTCGACATGTCCAATCCGATTGCCTATTTGGATCCACTGAATTGTAATTTAAATCACATGATGGTAATGCTGCTGAAGGATCAACTGAACGAATATCTATATGACGCAGAGCTAGCCAGTCTCAAGCTAAACGTAACAACCAAACCAGGCGGCATTGATGTAAATATAAATTTTCCTATATTAGATTTCAATGCTAATCTGGTTTTCCTCTTTCAGTTTACTATACGTGGCTTCAACGACAAGCAGGTGGTATTGCTTGAAAAGCTCTTGGATCACCTGTTCAATTTTAGCATAGAC